GCCTCTTTGCTCTCTAAGCTACATATTCGCACTGGCCTTCTTTCATTCCTTAAATTCTACCTGTTTGTTCCCACTGCAGAACTGTGTGTGTGCCATTTACTGCACCTGTGAGGCTTTTTTCTTCTTCAACAAGCTAACTCTGATTCTTCCTGAAGATATAAGCTCTATAATCATTTTGTCTAAGAAGCTTCTCTAATCTCATTTACTGGATCAAATTTCTCTACTATAATGCTACACTTATCACAGTTACAAGTTTACTTAAATGTGGATGATAATTTGATTTGTGCCTGTCTCTCTCTGTTAGATGTAAGCTCCATGATGGCAAGGACTATTTTCTGCATTTTTTAAATAAATTTATTTATTTAAATTAGTTTCAAGTATACACTACATTGGTTAGACATTTATATTGTTCATAAAACGATCCCCCCCAATTGATCCCTCTCTCCCCTGGCCCTCCACTTAGCCATCATATTAATGCTAACTGCATTCCCTCTGTCTTGCTCCCCATACCCATGCCCTACTATCAACTACTAATTTGTACTTCTTTAATCTTTCACTCCATTCTCCCAGCCCCCAAACCCCCTCCCCTCTGTCCATCACCAAATCATCCACTATATTTGAGTCTGTTTTTGATTAGTTTGTTCTTTTTGTTCCTTAGATTCCATATATAAGTGAAATCATATGGTATTTATCTTTCTCTATCTGACTTATTTCACTCAGCATAATAACCTCTAGGTCCATCCATGTCATTGCAAATGGTAGAATTTCATTTTTTTTTAAATGGCTGAGTAATATTCCATTGTATATAAGAACCATAATTTATTTATCCAATCATTTGTTGATGGGCATTTGGGTTGCTTCCATAACTTGGCTACTGTAAATTTTGCTGCCATGAATATTGGAGTGCATAGATCAGGAACAAGATAAGGATGCCCACTTTCAACATTCCTCTTCAACATTGTATTGGAAGTCTTAGCTACAGCAATAAAACAAGAAAGAGAAATAAAAGACATCCAAATTGGAAAGGAAGAAGTAAAACTCTCATTATTTGCCAGTGACATGATACTATATATAGAGAACCCTAAAGATTCCACCAAAAAACTGTTAGAACTGATCGATGAATTCAGTAAAGCAGTAGGTTACAAAATAAATGGCTGAGTAATATTCCATTGTATATATGAACCATCCTAGGGATACATCTATCTTGATCATGGTGTATGATATTTTTAATGTATTGCTGAATTTGGTTTGCTAATATTTTGTTGAAGATTTTTTCATCAATGTTAATAAGAGATATTGGCCTATAGTTTTCTTTTCTTATATTGTCTTTTCCTGGTTTGGGAATCAAGGTAATAGTGGCCTCATAAAAGGATGCTTCTCTCTGCTTGAATTTTTTTGGAATAGTTTGAGAAGAATAGTTATTAATTCTTTGAAAAATTTGCCTATGAAGCCATCTGGTCCAGGACTTTCATTTATGGGGAGGTTTTTGATTACTGATTCTATTTCATTGGTGGTAATCAGTCAGTTCAGATTTTCTGTTTCTTCTTGACTTAGTCTTGAGAGATTGTATGTTTCTAGGAATGTGTCTATTTCTTCCAGATTGTCCAATTTGTTAGTGTATAATTGCTCATAGTATTTTCTTATGATCCATTGTATTTCTGTGGAGTCCATGGTTATTTCTCCTCTTTCATTTCTGATTTTATTTATTTGAGTCCTCTTTTTTTTTCTTGATGAATCTGGCTAAGGGTCTGTCAATTTTGTTTATCCTTTCAAAGACCCAGCTCTTGGTTTCATTAATCTTTTGTGTTGTTTTTCTAAACTCTATTTCATTTATTTCTGCTCTGATCTTTATTATTTCTTTCCTTCTACTCACTTTGGGCTTTGTTTGCTGTTCTTTTTTAGTTCTTTTAATTATAAGGTTAGGTTGTTTATTTGAGCTTTCTTCTTGTTTCTTGAGGTAGGCCTGTATTGCTATGAATTTCTCTCTTAGGTCTGCTTTCACTGTGTCCCGTAAATTTTGAGTCATTGCGTTTTCATTTTAATTTGAAGGACTCTCTATTTTCTTTCACCATGGTATCGTAGTGCTTTATACAAAGAGCATGGAGCACAAGAAGTGCTCAATAGCTGTTACTGAATGAGTAAAAAATGAATGAGGACATTTAGAAATAATGAAAACACCTGTTTGCAAAATATATATATCGAAACTGTGAGTGCATGCTGATTGAATGGATCTCTCCAAATAAAAGAAACTTCAATCAGGATTCATACGTGGGATCAACAGAACCATTGAAACTCCTATTTGGTATCAGGAGCGATATTGCAACAATATTGATTCTTCAAATGACAATTGCTATGTTTTTCCAAAATATACTTAATGACATTCTCATAAACAAAGTAAGACACAGGAAGAGAAAGAAAGTAGCATCAATTTGAAATTTATCTTATCACAACCCTTATACTACCAGGGCTTTTGGGTAAAATTCCTTACAGGCATCTCCATTTAACAAGCATTGATTGTTGCCTAATGCCTAAGAGGTATTTGGCACATATTTGGCATTCAAGTATTTGTTGAATGAATAAATAAATGATTCAGTCTATCTATTGATTCCTATGCCAAGTCATAGGGCACAAAATAAAGATATTGCAGTCAGGTGGAGCTCACAGTGGTCTCCAAAATACGGTTGTTCATTCCAGGGAGGAATTCACAATAATTTATTAGAGTAATGAAAGAAAATACTCAAATGTTACTCTATAGGTATTTTTTCCTTGGGAGGCGGGGACAAGAAAAGAAGAAACTTAAGTTTTCATTATTTAACAAATTGATTGACACCCTTGTTCAGTTTTATGTTGGCTGGTCCCACGCATACGTGTAAAGACATCTTGAGTGAGATGATAGTAATAGTAGAACTCACTGGGCTTCAGCATATATTTACCTGCTCTCAGTAGATTTCAATTCTTATGAATGACTATTACTGAAATATGAAGATTCTAGACTATTCTAGAATACAAAGATAGCATTGTCACTCTCAATCAGTCAGGAGGGAAATATAAAATAGTTCTTTTTTCATTGTTTACTTGATATTTGTCCAATGTAATAATAGGGTCAATATTACAATTTAAAAAAAAAGTGAGTGTCAAAGTAAACTCATCTGACCCTTTGAACACAGTAATAATTTTGAAGGGAAGGGAATGGCCAAAGGTTGACTATAAAGCTCACTAAAAGTAAATGAACAGTTTCTATAAGTTGCAGTCATCAACTGTACATACATAAATTTTTTAAATACATTTTTGACTGTTCTCCTTTTAAAGATGAGGAAACCAAAAGGAAGAAAGGTTACAAGGTTTATTCAATTTCTCATAGCAAGCTAACTTATCTCTGTGTTATCTGTCTACTGCTCTTTCCACTATCCTACTGGCATCCTCTTCAAGCATCTGCTTACTGATTTTCTACCAAGCATTTGATAAATTATAATGAAAGAGTCAATATTTCTACCCACTTTGTGAAATATAGATTCTTATTCATAGGCCTCCTCTTTTGTTCTTTTATATGGATATATCAACCAATTAATTAACTTGCTTTCTTTATGTTACTTATTATCTTAGTCTTCACTAAATTGCCTCTTAATATTTCCACATAACAAAAATGTCATAATTAAAGTGAATTTTTAACATTTTGATCCAGTCTAGCCTGTGCAGGTACAATATCAAATCATGAATTAAAATATAATTATAAGAAACATTTATCCAAATTTTAGCAGTTACTTCAGCCTTGGGTCTATTCCTTTTACTTCTATTAAAGTCAAATAAAATTAAAGTCATTTTATTAAATACCTCATATCATATTAATAAACATGTTAAAATTCATCCTTCTATGTAGTTAACTGGAATACAGTTCACCAAATGACAGTAACGGTTAATTCTAGATCATAAAATTTTGGATGACCTTTTGCTTTCTTAATACATACTAGTATTCCTTGAATTTTTTAAAAAAGAACATGAATTATTTTGATAAAACATGGTCTCATTATTCTTAAAAATGTTCAAGGCCTCTCTAGAAAGAAAAAAATTATCATTTTGTCATACAGCTGGTTAATCCGATATCTGCCAATGACATACAAAAAAAGTAAGATACAATATGTTGTAATAGAGATTGCATAAACTTTATAATTTCAAGAAGATTGGATTTAAAATCTGACTTAATGTAATATTCAACATATTCCTTAATTTCCCAGCCTCCATCTTTTCATGTCCACCTTTACCTTGGTGCAACCTACACAGTACAGCAAATTAAATCCACTCTCCATTATAAAATCTCGGCACATCTGACCTTGCATCTTGGAAGAATTGTTCCAGTCACAGAATCACTCCTAGTTCATTGTGAAGCTAAACCTTATACCTCAAGGGGCCCATCCTTGCTGGGACTGAGCAGTGATTCAGAGAGATAACTAAGGTTAGGTCAAGAAATAACCAACTGATGCTAAAAATAACCTCTGATGCATAGATATTAATCAGAAATAGCAAGAAAAAGACTACCCTTTGTTTCTTTACACCCTTCTCTTCAAGATCTCCATTGTTACTCATTTTAATTTGGTTTTGCCCATTTGAAAACAGTTACGGGAACACACAGTGTAAGCTGTGTCAGTGGACTTAGCTCCTAACCCAAACACTTAGGAACAGATGCCAGATCACGTAACATGAGCACTCAATGATTAAAATATCTGGTGTGTTTGGAATGGCTCCTAGTAAACATGCATCCTGTCCACTATCATCTTTGTGTAATAGAGCAAGAAATAGACACTGCAATAAAAGTACATAACCTGCCTAAATCAATCCATGTGTTCTGAAATGGAATTGAACTAAACTGAACTGAACTGATAACTCAGGTCCCTATTTTTCACTAAGATAATTCCCATGTTGCAAGATTGGGAGCAAGAACTAAGAAGAGGAAGGACTGTAATGACAGAGTTTGGTTTTTTTTCTTTCTTTCTTTCTTTCTACAGATTACTAAAACATTCAAAGAATCAAATTTAAGAAATCAGTTCATCGGAGCTCATGTTGTCAAACTGAGGTAAGTGGAACGATATAAAAAATACATAAGCTTAGATACAATTTGGCCCATTTGACTTTGGTTTATGGCATGGATAATCAATGAGATATACACCCAATTTGTTGCAATATCATGAAAATAGTATTATGGGCAGCTTTAAAAACAATGCCAAAACAAAACCAAAGCATGCCATATATCATCTATTTACTTACTAATGTAAATGACAGTATTACTTTTTAAGTCATGGTAGGAAAAGGAGGAAAGGGTGGAGAGAGATTAGGGTGAAGGTACAATGACAGGGCTATCCTATCGTGTAAAGCCAGTGGCTACCATTCACAATGCAGTCTACGTAAACAATGTCCCCTGGAGCTGTGCAATGCTGCGGTCCTGGGAATTTTCATCCAAGATCAGAACACAATAACCAATATCAAAAGTGGCTTTTGGCTTTTGTCTGCCCGAAATGCTATAATCTAAAGGATTCTGTGACAAATCCAACCATGTCTGTCATGAATTCATAATAGAGGAAGTAGCAGCATGCATGCTGGCTATTTGTCATTCCTGCATTAGTTGAATATGTACCTATTCATATATGATAAGACAAGCATTTCCAACTAAAATAGTCACCCTTTACTGACCCTACTACAAATACCTCAAATGCTCACATTGTTCAGTCTGCCAAATATTATGCAAAAGTTCTTTGGAAGAAAGAAGATTTAATTCTTTCTCAAATACTAATACCACAGGAAATTATTATTTTTTTTATTCTCTGTATAGTTTCCTAATAAGTACTAAGGAGAATGGAGCTCTGGTCAGATAAGTTTTGCTGAGGAGTTAGAGGAGTAGGAAGAGTCCATGAAAAAAAGTAATTTTCAGAATGCACTTCGATCATTTCCATTCACATTTCTTAGTACTTTCTTGGCTAGGTCTCTGCACTAGCCACTAGCTCTCAAACTATGTATGACTGAATGATCTATATTTTCTTTCATTTTATTCACTTCCAAGTCCCCCGTAATCCCACTTCTGACCCCACCACAAAATGCCAATTGTTCTTGCCAAGTTCAACAATGACAACATAGGGAATATAGTCAATAGTATTGAAATAACTGTATATGGTGCCAGGTGGGTACTAGACTTATCGGGGGGATTACTTTGTAATTGTTTAAGTGTCTAACTACTATACTGTATACTTGAAACTAATATAATACTGAATGTCAACTGTGATTGAAAAAAAAAAATGGCATCCAAATCAAAACTCCAAAGGAATCACATCAGTTCTCGGTTTGGACTTCTCAACAGTATTTGGCATTGTTGGACATTCAATCTTCCGTAAAATATTACCATCCTATGGTTTCTATGACCCCTCTTATCTCCTTACTTACTTTTTCCATTTTCTTTGCTAGTTCTTATTCCTTCTCTATACATTTCTCAAATGCTGTTGAATGTCAAGCTGTACTATAAGCCTCTCATCTTCTCAGTTCTTATTCTCTCCTTTCAGTGGCTTCATTGACACGTACATGCTCATTCTTCTCAAAGTCATAACTCTGAGACAGAACTCTCTCACATCTAGACATGAATATACACAGCCATCTACTTGATACCATCATATGTATATCTTGCAAACAACTCAACTTTAACATGTATAGACCTGAATCCCCCCCTCACCAAATGTTACTCTATTGTTACCTACCTGTATAAATGGCAGCACCTTCAATCTAGTTTCTCAAGAAAGAAATATGGGAGTCATCTTTAATCCCTGTCTTTCCCTCAATACATTTTATATATGTATCAGAGATATATCTATTTTTGGTATATAATATCAAAATATGTACATGTATACATATTTATATATGTGTATGTATGTGTGTATATACATATTTTCTTGTAAGTCATATGTACATAACGAAGTTTACCAAACTTTCCTTTTTCTGATTTCTTCCTACCATCTTCATTTCTGGGCTTATCTTTCACTACTCTCTACTTTTTTCTTTACTCACCATTAGACTTTTTTCAGTTCTTCACTCTCCCTAACCTCAAGACCTTCATATAAACTATTCCCTTTGCCTGAAATACACACACACACACACACACACACACATACCACTTTTTCCCCATATCTTTTCATTTTAAAATGAAGTGTGTTCATGGAAAATCTGAGATACAGTAAGGTCAACAAATCATTGCCCTTGAAAAGCCAGTTTTTATTCACAGTTTCCAAGAGAAAGAGACAGGACTCTGGTAGGGTTGTTATGAAGATCAAATAAATTAGTAGCGTAAAACAGTCCTGTTTGAGCATCTATTTACAGGTTCATCATCATTCGTTAAGGATTCCTCTTCTTTAAAATGCATATTCATATCTTTTTCATTTTTTATTGCTTGTTACTCGTTTTCTTACTGAGTTGTATGAGTTCTGTATTTATAGTACATACTAATCATTTGTCACTTTCTGAGTTGCAAATATATTCTCCCTGTCTATAGCATATCTTTATATGCTTATGGCATCTTTTGCTGTAGAAAATCAATTGTAAAATATCTTAAATCTTTCTCTTCATGTATATAAAGACATTCCCCCATATTTTCTTGTAAGTTTTAAATTTTGCTCTTCATATTTAGGCGTTTTATTTGTGTATGGCAAGAAGCAGAAACTTAATATATTTTTTCCGTATAAGTCATTTTCTTAGATTTATGATACCACTTCTATGATATATTGTTTAGGTATGTCTGTGAGTCAGTTTCTGGATAATCAATTCTATTAAGTTCAATAATTATGTTATTCAAACTATAAATGTTTCTCCTTGTGTAATATATTTTGAGGATATATTATCAAGTGCCTATATGTTTAGAATTGTTATATCTTTTTCACGAATTCTTTTATTAAGATATTAATCCTTTTTGTCCCTAATTAATTATTTTTATTTTAAAGTCCTTATGTCTGATACAATTATGGCTACACTGACTTTCCTGTGATTATTTTTCAGTAAATCTTTATCCACCCTTTTATTTTCAACATTTATGTATCCTTATAGGTTAGATGTTTCTCCTAAAACAAGAAGACACCTAGATTACATTTTCTAATGCATTCTGACCATCTTTGCCTTTAAATGGAGAGTGTAGTCAATTTACATTTATTGTGATGAATGTTAAATTTGGATTTATTGCTTCCATATTATTGTGTTCTTCATCTTTTTTTATGCTTCTTTTTCCTACTGTCTTATCTTCTTTCATATGATTGTTTTCTTCATTTTCTCCTTTCAGTATTTTAGAAGTTCTACATTCTATTTGTCATATTTTAGTGATTATTCTTAAAATTTAATCAAGGATAGTTGGCTTAATCCATTGCCCTTCTTCCAAATAATAAGGGAACTTGGAATCCTTATTCATGTTGTTATGTTTCAGTTCACCTTATTTGTAATGCCAATTAGTCATTGAAATTATATTGTCAATGTCTTTTTAGATCACCAGTTAATCATTTGTTCCATATTTTTTTCTGTACCTCATACCCTCCTTCTGGGTTGATTTCCTTCTTACAGAATATTTCCTGTATAAGTTCTTGCATGGAGTACATGAGTAATTAACTGCATTTTTGTCATTGTTGTTTTACTTTGATCTGAAAATGTCCTTTTTTAGTTTCATTCTTGAACAATACTTTAGTGTGGATATAAAATTCTAGGTTGATAGTGATTTTCTCTCAGCACTGTGAAAATAAAATTATATCCTGTCTTCCATTGTTGCCACTGAGAAATTGCCCTTCAGTCAAAATGTTCTTTGGTAGCTAGTTTTTCTCCATTGTCTGAAATCATTCCATTTGTCTTTGGAGTTCAGAGTTTCGTGTAATGTATTTGTAGGGGGGTGGTATTTAGTATGCTACAGACTCATTGCGATCTGAGGCTTTATGTCTTCATAAATTTTGGATAATTCTAATTATCTCTTGTAATATTGCTGTTCCTTTATTTTTCTGTGTTCTTCTTTAGCACTGCATTAGGAAAACATTAAGCTTTCTCCTGTTTCTGAGTCTCTATCTTTTTCATCTCTTTCTCTGTTACATTCCATGTGATTTCTTCATCTCTTTTAGTTAACTAATTTGTCTTCAGCTTTGCCTAATATTCTATGTAACCCACCTATAGAGTTTTAATTTCAATTATAAACTATGTTAAGATTTTGTTTGCCTGTCTGCAAGTTCTATTTGTTTCTTTAAAGAATTCCGGTCTGATTTGATAATGCCCTTTACTTTTCTCATATTTATGATTTCTCCTTTTATGTCATTAGCCATTCAAATATATTTACCTGTAATTTTATTATATAAAGTTTTTGAGGATGTTCTTCTTGTTCTGCCAATTCTATTACCTAAGCAAAAGGGGTCTGTCTGCCTGCACATGTCTGAGTCAAGGAAAAAATACATGCAGGTTTTGCAGCAAAGAAAGTAAGGTTCATTGGAGTTGCAAGTCCTGGAAACACAGGCAAGCTAATGCTCTTAACAACCTGCCCCGCTTCCCCAGGTATCTTGGAAGTACAAATTATATAGGGAAAAATCAATCCTCATGTTAACTAAGGGATTTGGGGGCGTGGGTGCTACTGATTGGATAATTGAACCGGGCCGGGGTAATTGATCATTATATTTGTTTCTGGAATCAGCCATGGCTCAATCTCCTCTGGTCCCGTGCCAGGGGATTGTTCTCCCTTGATAAGCCTGGAGCTGAAACACCTCTACGGCTAAGATGTTACCCTTAATATAATTGAAACTTATTGTCCCCATGATTAAAAACCTGAGGCTCAATAAATCTTATGCCCTAAGACTTAATGATTAAAGGAGCAGTCATAACAACGGTAGAAGGTAGAAAAAGCAAGTAAGTCATAATGCAATTACCTGGGCAAAACCAGTTTGAATTAGAAAAAATCATATTAAAGAAATTAAATAAAGATTATGTGAGGTTGCAATTCTAGCTCATGATGTATTCTTTACCATTGGGATTGTATCCTTATCTTTAATCCACTTTAGAACTAGGATCCTATGCAGCCTGGATTTAACACACATATTGCCAGAGCATTTGTTTCTACCAGACACTCAAGGAGAATCAGCAGAACATGGACCATTTTTTTTTTTTTGGTCAATTATGTTAAAGAGAAAACCACAGGCCCAAAATGGTATCACTCATGCTAAAAGCCCATGATACAAAACCTAGATTTAATACCTGATCCAATTGCAGTTCCAACCTATCCCAGAAATGTAATCTTAATCAACCAATCTGGAATTTTCTGGTCAAGCACCAATAACTTATCTGTCAAGTAGACCCTCTCTATCTCCTTCCAAAAACCTTTTCCATTTCCTTCCCCCCAATGTCCTGGCATAAAAATAATTCTTTCTTTTCTTTTATTAATGGCTCCCTTGCCCCACCCTATAAAAACATTCCAGTTTGTACAACCCCTTCTAGATGATAGATGGGATGCTATTTGAATCATGAAAAGCTTTAAAAAGCCAGTTAGATCTTCAAGTTTATGCAGTTGATTTTTTTAAGACAATTTCTTAAAGTTCTGGTACCATGATAGTAGTATAAATGCAAATCAAAAACTTTCATGCAGCCAGGCTCATGATTATGAATTCTTTTTTCCTTCCTGACCTAGACCTCTGAGACAAAAAAAAACTTCTTTATTTTTCTTTTATGAGATGATAAGCAGATTTTTTTCTTTCCAACCCATGCTTTCACTGAGGATTTAGTTTGTTGAGAATCTTGGCCTTAGTCTGAAACCTCATGTCCATCTCTCTATTTTGCACTAGCCCAAGCCCTCATCTCCAGAAACTAAATGCTAAAACTCAAGCCTGTTGTATATTTGAGTGTTTACTCCATAATATTCATGTTTTTTATTTTTGGTCTTCCAAGATGTCTCTTACTTTCATGTGACCTCAGCTTTGCATTTCAAATAGAATTTATTATATTTTTCTAGCATTTCTGATTGTTTTATTTAAAAAGTTTTTTTTAATTAAAAAAAATTTTTTAATTGTTTAAGCTTTCATGTTGCTAGAAATGGAAGTTATAATTATTTCTTTATTGTCCGCTTCTCCTTTTAAACTGCAAGATCCATAAGAATGGCAAGTGTGAATCTTGGCCATAGCAAATTTCTGAATCTAAAAATAGTGCCTAGCACAATATTTATTAAGTAAATATTAAGTATCTGAAATGAATATTATAGCAGAACTGGCAACTGAGATGAGAGAAGGAAGCCTAGAGTGAATATGAGAGCATCAAAACCAAATTTGCCTAATGCAACTTTTCAGAAAAGAAGGCATCCAATGTTCAGTAGAGGAAGTAATTTACATGGTAATTTGCATAGAAGGAAGTAGAAATTGATGTTAGATAGTTAAGCCATTAGTCAAATTATCAAGGTTTGTGATGAATATCTGTGGTTAACTGAAATGGAGATAAAAGCTTAACATATGACTATAAAAGTTAAAATGTGATTTTGTAGCCAGATGAATGGATGCAGGTACCAGAAATTTAGCTTGAGCCTCTAAGCCACATAACTTTGGAAATTCAGCCCTTCATAACTTTAATGAGATTAGAGGGGGGAGAAGATTTGTGAAGTCTAATAATAGCTAATACTTATAGTACACTTACTGTACGCTATGTATTCTTTCCAAAAGTTTTGCACATATTAATTTATGTAATCTTCATAAAAACCCATTTTAATGTGAGGAGACTTAGATACAGAAAGATTAAGAAATAAATAGTTTACCCAATGTCAAACAGTAAATGGCAGAGCTGTTGTTATTCAGGCTCTGGCATTCTGACTTCAAAGCCAGCTATCCTGAATAGTGGGTACAATGTACTATGCATTGAAATAAAATATTTGTGAGATAGCATTGTGATATATCATTAAGAGGCAAACACTGTTATGAGAATCTGTTCTAAATTTAAATACCTCACATGAATTTTTTAATGTTTATTGAGGAAGAATATATAAAGAAAAGAGCAGAAAATTATCATACTTATTCATTTAAAAATATCTTTATGGTTTTCAGGAAAGATGGTAATGGTGTGATAGCAGATATTGTTATGAAATTTAAATTCTCTAGAAATAATAATGGAGCATCGATGAAAAGCAGAATTGAGTCTGTTATACACCAAATGCAGAATAACTCTGGAAACTTGGAAATAAACCTTTCAACTGAGATAACATGCAAGTACCATTTTTACATACCATTTTATTTCACTATATCCCTCAATTTAACCAGTTATAACTCATGTTTTAATTTAATGAGAGACTGACCTTGTTTTTTCCCTTTGTAATTAAACTTCATGAAAACAATATATTATAAATGTATAGCCCTCTAATATAAAAATTCTAAAATTTAAATAACCATTTAGCATTCATATAGTAAATTTTATTTGCTAGATATAATGTATAGCCCTCTAATATAAAAATTCTAAAATTTAAATAACCATTTAGCATTCATATAGTAAATTTTATTTGCTAAAATTGTTTTATTCATTTTCCTTTTCAATACTCCTTATGAGGGATGTTGTTGTCAGATGTTCAATTTGTAGGTATGTTACAGGAATGATAAATAGCTGTACAAGGTCAGAGAACAATTTAATTAATAATCCACCTCACCTAAAACAGGGCATGCATTTGGAAGTTATCTGGTAAATACTTGTAGAATAAGGAAGGAAATTAGAAAATTTAGCAATATCTTTATCTTCTCTCTGAAAATCATGTATACCTCAGCCTGTCTTTTATTTTTTATTTTTCACCTTTTTTTCCAACCTTATATAAAAAGTTAACACATCTATTAGAAAAAATTTAGCAAAATTTATGCCAAGATAGTAACAATTATGGGGATTATGAACTTCAGATTCAAATACTATCCAACTACATATTTCTACCCAGATGGCCCAAATATATTCAAAAGTGAGCTCACCTTTACACCCTACTCCTAGTCTACTTACTACTGCAACTTGCTCTTCTTCCTTCCTCCCAATATAGGATAAAGGCGCCAACACCCACTCAGTCTGCCAGGTTAGAAATCAAAGTTGAAAATCCTTCATTTGGCCTACAATGCATAGCTTAAAGGTTATTTCCTCACGGAAGGCTTTTGGGATCCTTCAGACTAAGTAAGCTCTGTGTGCTCTGCTTTCACAGTATTTAGCCTGTTTCCTTTATGGTAATATTATCACATTTAAGTACCTAAGCCTGTCTTGAATCCATGCCCATTTTCTTACATCCCTACTGCTATCACTCTGGTCCAAACTAACATCATTCTTAAACATCTGCACGAGCCTCCATATTACTCCCCTTATATACTTTCTTTACCCTTTCCAATCTATTGTCCATATATTGATCAAAAAAATATTTTACAATACAATCTCACTTAAAAGCCTCTCACAGATTCCCACAAACATACTCCACCCTTGCCCACACACACCCCTGTAAGTAGGATACCATATTTCCTGGTTTGCCCAGGACAGTTTTAGTTCATGCCAATTGTCCAAGAATCATTATTAATATTGCTCCCTAAGTATCTTGGTTTGAACAATAAATGATATGGCCATCTCATCTAAAGCACTGCATGATCTGGTTCATACTTACCTCTCCAGCCACTTACACCACTCTCTTCCTCATTCACTGTAATCTAGCCACACTTACATTTTCTGCAGCTGCCAAGCTCCTCTCCCTTCTACCTCAGGGACTTTGCATACATTGTTCCAATTTGTTATAACACTTTCTAGATCACCCTTGTGCATCCTTCAGTTCTCAAAATTATTGCTTTCTAATGTAAGCCTTTTCTAACTTCCATTACTCAGTTATTTACCTTTGTCACAGATTCCTTCGTTAACCTTCTTAACATTTATCACAATGGAAACTACGAAATTATTTGCGTGACTTTTGTACTGATTGTCTTCATCCTACTCTGTAAGCTTCCTAAAGGCAAAAAACAGTCTGCTTTGTTGATCTAGCATCTAATAGATACTCCATTAATATTTGTTACATGACTAATAGAAAAGAATTACTTAATATGTCCCTAGAATTTAAGGACATTCTTTCAACTTTGTCATGTACTACTAGCTTAGTAAACCGTGATTTTCTTATGATAAGCTCAAGATTAAAGGATTTTGATGGCTCCCACTCTGGACTGGTATTCAATCAGATTGTTTACCAACACTTAGGAAAAAAATTTGAAATCTTTTGGTAAACAATCGCTGCACCAGGTCCACAAAGTTGTTTCCTCAGCCCCTCCAAATCCTCTCATTCCTATCCTAGACTCCCAGCTCCTCCCCTCTGCAACTAAAGAGTTAATGCTTAGCACAGAAAGGATCTCCAAGACACTGCTCCAGCACCATGGCTGGTTGTATCCTTTCTGACTGGCTGGCATTCATATATTATAGTTTGTTTAGTCCTCAAGTCTTATACTTTTATTCTTTCCACTCAGAAAAGCTAGATAATTGCCAAGGTTGTTAGGGGAATCAGGATTTGAAGTTGTCTCTTATTCAGAGAGGGAAAAAGCAGTGGTCAGTTCTTTTCATTTTCTGCCTCCAAAAGGTGTTTTGGCTCCTGTGACACTTACAAAGCAGATGTAATACCCAAGCCCTGTTAAACTTCTGGCAGCAAATAAGCTTGCATAAATTGATTTTAGAGAGCATAAAAACCTGTCTGAGAAGTTTAGGTTTATCTAACAGGAAATAAAAAGCTAATTTCTCATTGAAAATTTTCAAACAGGGAAGGATATGATGTGACATACATTTTTAGAAAAATCAGTCTGAGAAAGAAGAGGTGGATACATTGAAAACAAAGTAGAAGCAGGAAACGCAGTTTGAAGGTTTTGTAAGAGTGTAGATAACAAACGATGAAAGCACAAACTAAAGTAGTAGTCATGGGGATGAGGAGGATGGGGCTAATTTGAAGGAGAGATAAAGGTTAGAAGGTACAAAATCTGGAAACCAATGAGATGTGGAAATGATAAGAAAGGAAAAGTTAAAAGATCATTTCAGATTTCTAGCTACTGGTGGAAGTTGTGTCATTACTGAATGAGGAGCATAGGAATCTGTATTTTAATAGCCCTATGATTCTGACTATGGTTGTCTGAGGACTAAAAGAAATTACACTATTGATCTTACTCTCACTCTTTTTTTTTTTTTTTTAATACCAGCAATTACTGACCAGGATACAGTAATTATGTTCACTCAAGGTAAGTTTTAAAATTATTTTATAAATACGGTTTACCAAAATATAAAGAGTACATGTTCAAATCATTTGTGTTCTTTGTCAAGGCAGTGTCTATTGAGGTGGTATCTTTATTTATAGTTCATTTATGTGGGTTGTTGTTGAAACGTTGCTGATTCCATTGGTCTGTGGAGTGATGTTCAGATTTTTCCCTCCTTTTTGAAGAAAGAAGAAGTAGTGGTATTTCACCCATTGAGTTTGATCTCATGAAAAATTTAGGCAGCTTTAGGAAGCTTTTCTTGCCTTGGTTCTATGGTAGCATTTCTGTAGATGTGGAAATTATGTTTGGTGACACCATTTATATGGCTTCTCCTAACCACTAGAATAGCTTGCTTTGTTGTGGATTTAGGTTAATCATAAAGTACAATTAAAAATTATAAAAATTATTGTCAGTTTTTTGTCTATAACCTAAAGGAAAAGTCATTACTTTCCAATGTCATTCTGTATACTCTTAGGCTAGGACAGCATAAATGGTACCCCTAGAAAACATCAGTCTGCTGATAAAATATAGTTAGAAATTAGTTCAACGTACCTAGACAGCTGGTCTATCTCAGTTACTTAAGTGACATTTACAAGATAATGCTACCTCTATGGGTGTTTTTAAACTTCATTATATATTTAGTCCATGCTTCCTTTTAATAAAAATTTACTTAAGCAAATTACTAGAGAATTTGGTTGGAGGATGCAGCAAAGGAACCTATGTTCCCTGTGTATTCATGATAGAAGTCTGGTCCTCCTCCATCTGAGAAGACTGTTTAAAAAAAATGCCTTTTGATGGTTGTCCTATTGAAGAAGTGTCACTACTTTATAGCTAGTCCAGCAATAGAAATTGTTGGTGATGATGTACCTCTAATTTCTTAGTAATAGACTAAACAAGAGGAAATAAATCATGGGAATAGGAGTTTAGAGGAATTAAGTGATCAGCCCACCCCAGCCCATTTCAGCTTCGCCTATTGGAGTGCTCACGGGCTCTCTTAAGATATTTAAATAAACCTCATGTAGATACTTAGAAAATGCCTCCTGTCACCCTTGAGAATATTGTATGGTAATTCCTTTTCAAGTTTCTTTTAAAGTAATTCCTTGCAAGTTGCTAAGAGTAGATCTTAAGTATACCCACCACACACATGCACATATACATTCTCTCGCACACACACACACACACACACACAATAAACTATGTGAGGTGATGAATGTGTTAATTATCTTGATCTTGCTTATCATTTAACAATGTATATGTATATCAAATCATCACATTGTAAACTTTATATTGTATATATGTAAAGTTTACAATGTGATGATTTGATAAATTACATTTATCAATTATTCTTAAATAAAGTTGGGGAGGGGGAATGCAGCTTCTGACTTATTCCATGGTGTGGGTCTGAGAGTCAATATTTTTTTAGCTTTGAGGTATAATCAACAAATAAAATTGTAGGATATTTAAAGTGTACAATAGCATGCTCTGATACACACACACGTATACACACACACATATATACACATATATAGTAAAAATATTCACCCACCTTGTTAATTAACACATCCACCACCTCACTTTTTTTTTTTTTTAGGCAAGGCTACCCTTGGTTGACCTCACTTATTGCAAGGACCTTGTTAGCTTACAATCTCTTATTATTATTATTATTATTTTTTTTTTTTTTACGCCTACAACACCTGGTCTCCCATCCAAGTACTACCCAGGCCCGAGTCTGCTTAGCTTCCGAGATCAGATAGGATTGAACTTGTTCAGGGTAGCATGGCCATAGACTACCACCTCACATTTTTACTTCCTCTTTTTTTAGAAAGAACATTTAAGGTCTACTCTCTTAGCAAATTTCAATTATATAATACAGTGTTGTCAACTATAGCCACCATGTTAGACATTAGATCTTCAGACATTATTCACCTTATAGCTCAAAGTTTGTACCCTTTTACCAAATTATCCATATTTCACCCACCCCCCAAGCCCTGGCAACTACTATCTACTCTGTTTCTATGAGTTTGACTTTTTTTGAATAAAAATTTGATATATAAGTAATACCATGCAGTAGTTGTCTTCGTCTGGCTCATTTCACTTAGCACAATATCCTCCAGGTTCATCTATGTTATTGCAAATGACAGAACTGTCTTCTTTTTTAAGGCTAATATTCCATTATTCCATTATGTGTGTATGTGGGTATGTGTGTGTGTATATACACACTACATTTTTTTGATCCATTCATTCACTGAGATACATAGTTTCCACACAGCATCAAGATTTCTAATAAGCTCCCTGGGGATACTCATACTGTAGGTCCAAACACTACACTTTGAAATATAAGGCTATAAAGAAGACGGAAATTTCCTAGTGAACTGGTGGCCTGAGCTGGGATAACCAGCACTGACCTATCTTAACCTCTACTCATGAGGAATTCCGGAGAACTATGAAGCTGTTCCAGAATTTAAAGTCACATGTCAATTAAGCTCAGAAAAGTTCTCTAAAATGCAGTTTATAGGCAAAATAGTCACATAAGTACTCTAAAAAATATAGCATATTGCTTATGCTTTTAGAAAGGCTACCTATCCTGGGGAAGAATATATAAAAGATAGAAAAGTCATAAAAGATGGAGAGACTTTTACAACATCTCCTGAAAGTAAATGAATCATGATCTTCCCAACATATTAATGTTCTTTTCTCATTAGAATGTGGAGTCCGTCCAGACCTAATGACATTGTCTGAAGAGAGAATCATGGGAGGCATCAAAGCTGAGAAAGGAGACTGGCCATGGCAAGTCAGTCTACAGTTGAATAACATTCATCATTGTGGAGGCATCCTGATCAGTAACAGGTGGATCCTGACAGCAGCTCACTGCTTCAGAAGGTGAGGCCACAGCTACTTACCCATCTGGAACAATTAGAGGGGACATATACGTGAGAACTCTGCCCATATCCTCAAGACTAAACATGACTAGATTAAGTCAGAAATAATTCAATGCAAAAAAAAAAAATGAGTATTTTATTCTATTTATGATAGCAAAAATTTTTTTCTCCTTCAGCTTGATAATTCATTCGTATGTCTCTGTTTTAGGTAATAGTATATGATTATGGCAAAGAACAAAGATTTAGATGTTAGTATGTTTAATTTAAATCCTAGCTATGAAAGTCAGGAAATTTATTGAACCTCTGTAAGCCTCTTTTTTATTATTTTTTTTCAAATTAAGAACAAATAGGGACATGCTGTTATCTATGTCTTACTGTTTCTGGTAGGATTAACATAGATAAACATATGTTAAATGTTAGCAAAATGAACTGTTGCAGGAAATTTGCACATTATATCATGTAAGCAAACAACAGACTACAGCTGATCTCAGACTGCCCTATGCCATTAATTTATTCTTTTGAAAAATTATTAAATACCTATTATGAGCACAATGTTATATATTATAGAAGCTAATTAAACAAACATGGAACAACAATAATGATCAATTAATTATAGGGAGTAGCATAAATAAAATGAATTTCAGCAACTTACAGAGAATTCTTCACTCTGTGAATAAAGGCTATTGCTAACACTAGAGTAATAAACTGCCAGTGGATAGTAGGATACATAAACTTTTCCTATTGACATAATGAAACAGTCCTACTGCTTATAACAGAAGGACTTTAGACTTCCTGGACCCAAACATTGCTGGGAACTAAACTCAAAAAGTTAACTCAGAAAAGTGATGGTGATCTGAACTCAGGTGTGTCTCTGATCATACCTATTCTCTTTTCAGACTCTTTCAATAACCACTGTCTAAAATCCAACCTTCCTTCCACACACCGAATTAGATCAATTCAGACTTAATTCTCAAAGCATGAACCTTGAGCTCCACCCAGATTATATTAGTCTCTTCCCCTGGACTCTGTCTACATTTTCCCACTTATGAACATTTGCTCAATATGCTTCTTTTCTTTAAAATGTTAATATCCCTTCTAAATCTCCATTTTTCCTATTGAAATGCTGTAACATCTTCACTATTTCTAGGAAGCCTTTTACAGATTTGAGGATACTGCCTCATAATACAGTGCCTGTCACAAAAGTGTTAAATTAAGAGGGAGTAAAGTTTAATAAGACTAGTGTACAGTTTCTGAACAAAAGTTTTAGGAAGCCCCAAATTATTCTGAATTTTTCTTATGGCTATCTTATAATAATATTTTTTTACACAGTGAATAAATTTGAAATTGCTGATATCAAGAGTTATCAAATTTTTTATTTAGACTGACACATTTATTAGTGTGTCTCAGAAAACATAAGAAACAAAATTTGAAAGAACATTTCAGTCTTCATTGCCACCTGAAAAGCCAGGGAACAAGAATGGCACTAATTGATTCAATCACCCCTGACTGTGGGAACAGAAATATAAATACTTGGACGTAATATAATAATATAAGTACTTGGATGTAATAGAAACAGTACTGGACCCTAAGCCTTATTCAGATTCAGTCACCAAAAGCTAAGTAAAGAGTATCACTACAATGATAGCCAGTTTATAAATTGGCTATCCAATGGTAACCAAAGAAATCCATGATTTTAAAGGTTTAGAACATCTTTGAACTTTGCCACCCCAAATCCTTCTATTCATTACCATAACTTATACATGAGAACCAACAAACTACATGAACCTTGTATCGGCACCCTCCCTGTAGACCTGATTGTCACTGAGAACCCACCAGTGAGGATTTGTTTGGGACATGACCAGCCTTACATCAAGATACAAAGAAGTGATGAGGCCCTCATAGAAAGGAAACTTGAATTACCACTTCCTCTATGAAGCCTTCTCTGATACTCTCTTCCCTCCCTTACCTTGTTCCCACAGAAATTCACTTATCTATCTTTAACAGTAGTCCCTGTGATTTAGCAGTTTGTCTCTGTTAGTCTCCTCCATTAGTGTGTAGAGCTGCTCAAGGACAAGACCATAATTATTTATATTTTTATTCACATAGACTCATATTATTTCTTATACAAAGTAGATACTTTGTAATGACTTGTTGAACTATAATTAATAAAAATAATAGTTGCCTTTATTGAGTGCTTACCTTGTGCCAAACACTATTTGTCTCAATTAAGAACACTGTGTGAGACGGTATCATCAATTACATCTTGTGCATTAAATAAACTGAGAATTAGAGATTTTAAGTTACTTGCCCTAAATAATGCTGCTAATACGCAGCACAGCCAAGATTCAAATCTAAATCTAACTGGTTTCAAAACTATGCTCTATTCATTTGGAGGAATGAAAGAAAGGGAGGAAAGCAGGGAGAGAAGGTAGTAAAGAAGAATATCTTTTAGAATTTTCACTATAAAGACCTTGCACAAAAGTTCAATGTAAAAAATTTGTGTATTTGCTTGTTGTCAAAATTTTTTTCTTTAGTGAACTAGCATTCACTGAGAAGCTACTGTACCTTGTACAAGCATTTCCTGGATATATAATTTTTATTTTCTGTATCAACTACATTATCTATATCTAAACTCAACAAAACTCCTAAGTGGTTATTTGTTTTTTATTCAACATTTTGTATTTATTCAACCTTAGGAGCATGATGAGTTAATGAATCCTACAATTTACAGATCCTTATTTTCACCAGTCTGTACAAGACCTTTCTCTCATTTTTTTTTTTTTAATTCCTACCTGGATCCTACTTCCACTGTCCTCCCTGCTCCCAAATGCCTCATGCTAATATTTGACATGTATCTTTAAATATGCAATTATCAATAGGTTTAATTTTTTTTTTTGGCATGTATGTGTACATTCCTTTAATTTATATAAGTAGCACTGTGTATAATGTCTCAGATTGTTCCTACTGTTTTGGTTCAACCCTTGGAGTTTTAATCTGGTCCACCACTGAATCCAACATATTCCTATAACTAGTAGTTTGCTCAAACTTCCCACTGCCACAAAAAGCATGCACATACACGTACACACACACCTTTATATGTGCCTTTCTATAAACCTTTGAGAATCTTTGAAATATGTACGCAGAAGTACATATGCCAAATATACTAGAATGCTTCCCAGAAGATAACAACCAGTAATGCAAAGAATTTGAATTTCTCCTCACCAACACAATATTATTCTACTTTTTCAATTTTTGTCACTCTTATGATTATATATTAGATGCTCATTATTGTTATAATTTCCATTTCTCAGCTTACTAATGAGTTTGAGTATTTTGTCACATCTATTAGCTGATTAGGCTTACCCTTCAATGAATTGCCTGTTAATATATTTTACCCATTTTATAATTATTTTTCTGTTCATTTATTAGTGGTTTAAAGACTTTTTTCTGTATTTTCTACATAAGTTTTAGAGAGTAAACATTGCAAGTATTTTCCTATGCTTTCTCACCCGTCTGATAAACCTGTATATGGTATACTGAATTTTGAGTCCATGAAATTCATCAATTTTTAACCTATGTTTTGTGTTTTGGGAGTATGATTAAAAAGCTCCAATTTCTGGGTCACAAAGATAATTCCTTACATTTTTTAATATTAGTGTGGGTTCGCTCTCACACGCGCACGCGCACTCTCGTTCGCATGCGCGTGCTTTCTCTCTCTCTCTCTCTCTCTCTGTCTCTCTCTATATATATATATATGTATATATACAAACAAACATATATGCACCAAAGTCTTCAAAAAGCATCACACTTAGTGTAGAAAAATTATTCCTTAATAAGACAGAAGTCTTTATCATCACTACTATTTAAATGGAGCTTCTGGCTTAAGACAAGGAAAGGAAAAAAAAATAAGGATTGGGAGAAATGAGTTAACATTAAAGTGGACATTATTTCAGACTTCTTAGTTGTTAGAATGGGAGGATGTAGGAAAGGGAGAAATCAAAGAGATTTGTGTTATACTAGTTATCATCAAAGTATCAGAATATTCTCATTAGAACATAAAAAAATCAAGATGTTCACCAACCTAAGACATATTTTCTAAAATCTTTGTTTCTTTAGAGAAAGGATCACTCATGGTACCAGTAAAGAGTTAAACTTTACTAGCTATGTAATACAGAAATATATAGCAAAGAGAAGTTTATTAAATAGTTCTTAGACAGTGGTGGGGCGTGACAAACACAAAATCCAAATATTTGAAATTCTAACAAATTTCTTATCTAAATCCATGTTTTCGTATATATTTTTTTAGCCACCCTGATCCCTATACATGGACTGCTACCTTTGGAATTTCTACAACGTTTCCTACGCAGAGAATAAGAATAAAGACTATTTTAGTCCATAAGAATTATAACTCTGCAACTCACGAAAATGATATTGCAGCTGTGCAACTTGACAGAGGTGCCACCTTTACCAAAACTATCAATAGGGTATGTCTCCCAGAGGCTACCCAAAATATTTCAGCTGGTTCCACTGCTTACGTAACTGGATGGGGATCGCAAATAAATGGCGGTAAGTGTCTCGGGAAAAATAAAACAACGACGACAACAAAATCTCCTGATACTTCTATATATATATATATTAGGGAACACCTGAAGGACAGATTCTATGGACAGAATCATCTTACATTCTGGTCATCCTAAACTAGTTATTCCTGAGTTTCTCCAGCAAAGCAAAGCAATGACCTTAGAATATATGGGGAATTCTCAAACACGGTAACAGGGAAATGTAAAATAAAGTGATTAAAAATATGAGTTCTTCAATGTTGTAGAGACTTTATAGGACTCAAATGACTTCCCTATAAAGAAAATAATAATTTTTTAAAAGAGGATTGGCGAGGTATTCTCTAAGGGTTTTAATATCCTTTAAGGTATTAATAGACATTTAAAGTATTCTAGGATAAAATGAATCCTGCCTGGAGCAAGAAACTCTAAGTGTACGTAAGCATTTCTCAGACCTGTTTAGTGAATGAATAAAATGGAAATAAATATGAGGGCAATGAGAGAACAAAGTGGGCCAAGGGGAAAATAAGAGTATCAATCAGGGAGTGGAAGAATAGCATTAACAGTGTCATGGGTTTATAGCCATGTTGTAGATGTCTTGCCAAGGAATAATACAAAGATTTAATTGTCCAAGAAAATATTTTGTTGTGTTCTCATGGCCCAGAGTAATTTTGTGGAGTAGATAAAATTTGTGTCTATCACAAAAATGACAGTGCCATTTTTAGGGAATATCAATATAAAATAGATTAGTTCTTTAGCCTTGAAACCAGACTGATTTCTCTTTTGTTATATTAAAAGTTATTCAATATGTAACTTTCCAATTCAAAGTCAGTCAGCAGATAATTTAAATGCCACTAGTCAATTTTAAGATATCAGATTTATTTTTCTCTCAACGTCTAAAAGACATCACAAAGCTAAAGCAAAAAAAAAAAAAAGGAAAAGCAGAATGAAAACCGATCTGTTTAAAGGGGTTATCCTTCTCTATTATATGTATCTTTGCTGAGAAGAGACTCCTAAGTACATCTTCAACAGCCTTCTTTGCTCAATTAGAAACAATGTTTGGAGTACATTTATTTCTTTTCATATTCATCATAAAGTCACTAATTTATATATCTTGAAGTCTATTTTCTTTCTGCTTTATACTAAACAGGCAACTCAGTTGAAGATCTACAGCAAGGACAGGTCAACATAATAAGTAATAGCGTATGTAATGCACCAACTAGTTATAATGGAGCAGTCTTGTCTGGAATGCTATGTGCTGGAGTACCTCAAGGTGGAGTAGATGCATGCCAGGTAAGTTCAAGATAATGTTATCAATGTCATCATTCAAGTTTATAAGTACTGGCATGTGATACTGTGATAAACATAGAGGTAAATTAAAATACACAGTTCTAATCCTCTAAAAATTTATGATCTAGATTTTAGAGATAAAAATTTTTTATGAAGTTGATTTATTATGAAGAACCAATTCTAAGTCTACGGCCATGCTACCCTGAACAAGCCCGATCCTGTCTGATCTTGGAAGCTAAGCAGGGTCGGGTCTGGTTAGTAGTTGGATGAGAGACCACCTAGGAAGACTACGTGCTGTAGGCATAAAAATTAAAAAAAAAAAAAAAAAGGATTGTAAGCTGACAAAGTCCTTGCAATCTGTGAGGTCAACCAAGGCTCGCCTTGCCTAAAACAAATTAAAAAAGAAAAAAGAAAAAGAAAAACTAATTCTGAGAAGCCAAATTAAAGAGTGATTAATCATCTGAGCTCAAGAATCAGACAGACCTGGGTTTCAATTCCTTAACCTCTATAACCAATTCTTTTATCAATAAAATGGGATTGATAATAATAATATCTAACTCTTTAGGTAATACTAAACACTAGATGGAGATTAAATATGTCAGGCACGTACTAAGCAACAAAGAAATCTCAGCTATCAGCTATTTTTCCTATTGTTGTTAACTAGATCATGATCACTGACACTAATAACTTTAATCTCAGCCTTTTAACCACCATGAAGGTTTAAACAAATTAATTATTTATCTGTGTAAAACATTACACAGAGAAATTCCTTACTATGGAAGAAATAGTAGCAAAAACACAGTGATGAAAAGGTGCTGAGAACTGGTTAACTGAAACATTTATGCACAATCTAAAGGAAGCAGGTGCCAATCAGCTGGATGCAGTGCTTGTCATGCAAGCCGGTGATTCACGCACTGACCTTTCTTCCCATCTGAACCAATAACTAAGTAGATATGGAAGAATTGGCCACTAAGAGCAGTCAAATAAATAGCAAACTATTCTAGAAGCACACTTGGTAATAATAGCTGACATTTATTAATACCGATTATATGCCAGGCAATACTCAAAGTGCTATGTGTGCTAAACTCATTTAAATACATAAAAACATTTACAGATGAGGAAACTAAAGCACAGGGATCTATTAAATACCTTACTTAAGATCATATATCTGTTTAGTCAAGGATTCAAACCCAGGCTATCTAACTCCAGAACTCACGAGCTTAACCCATCATACAGCATGTAAGACCTATACTAAATTTGTCTCCTCAACTAGAATTTGTATGCACAGATATTTGTTGACTAATTTATTATTATAGTTGGCTGGTATTTCATAAGGAGTGTTTTACTCATTTCCATATAAATTTCTTTCTCCTTTTTCACCATGCAGGGAGTATACTGTGAATAGGAATATAAAAGAGACTTCTAAAAATTCATTCATTCAACAAATATTTTCTTAGTATCTCTTATGGGCTAGAAGCTTAAGATACAGCAGTGTCTAGAATAGATATGCTCCTTGCCTGATAGACCTTACAGAATAGTCAGAAAAACAGACACTGAACAGATATCACAAATGCAATGAGTGTTGCAGAGATGTGTAGCTGCTACAATGAGGGGAACTGATCCATGGGTATAAGTTCAAACAGGTATACAAATGTGCTTTGTAAAATAATGAAGAAGCAGTGAAAGATATACACACAAAATGTGGGAACCAAGACAATGACAAACTAACCCAATCCAAAGTTAGAAGGGGTGGCAGGGATGAGAAAAGACACAGGTGATGAGGGAAGGTTTCCTGAAGAAGGTAAACCTTGGGATGAGTGGCAGTCAACCAGGCAACTGAGGGAGCCTGGGAAATGTGCTTCTCATCTTCTCACACTTGCTGAAGGAATGTGTGTTCTTGGGAGACTCTGGTAATTTTCATATGACTTGGTATATTTTAACAAGAAATGTCAGACTAACTTTATTTATTGTCATAATGGATATGACTTCTTCTGTCATAGAAATAAACTCTTAATATTTTGATGTTGTCTTCACACTTAAGTAATCAATCATTCTGTTTCCTTCAGGGTGATTCTGGTGGCCCACTAGTACAACAGGATTCACGGCGGCTCTGGTTCCTCGTGGGGATAGTAAGCTGGGGGGATCGATGTGGTCTGGCAGATAAGCCAGGAGTGTACACTCGAGTGACAGCCTACCGTAACTGGATAACCGAACAAACTGGAATCTAGTGCCTCTCTGCTGCAAAGTCTATATGCAGGTGTACCTGTCTAAAGCTCCAAAACTATTTTTCAGCTGCAAAAGAAACTGGAAGTGCCCTATTCTCACATCCTGTTATATAAATATGATTCACAAACACTATTTGACCTTTATTACTACAGATTTTATATTTTCTCAAGAAAACCATATGAATGTTGCATAGTACTGTGGCTATGTGCCAGGGGAAAGAGAAAATTAGTTACAGAGTTAAGAATTTTATTATAGTTGTATTAAGTGATAAAGTGAGGGAAACAGGTACTCAAGAGTGGATAGTAGGGGATCCTGGACACATCTGCAAAGTCAGAGGCATCTTCTCTAAAGAAGTCTCACTGAAGCTGATAAGTGGGCAAAGTATCGAAACTTGCAAAGAAAGAAATAGTAGAATAACATTCAAGACGGAATAACATGAATCAAGAAAAATACTATGTATTTGAAATTTCTGCTTACTCAATATTTTATAGGTAGTAAGTCCTAAAATTAAATCCATGAAGTCATTGTACAGTCCTACAGCAATTTTTATCCTGTAAGAACATGCTCCCATAGGAACTAACTGATGAATTTAAGGCATTTAAGATCAAAGCTAAAATAGTCACTCCTCGACTAAGATCCAAAGAATCATAATTTTCATGAGAACTTCTATTTAAAATATTTTTTCATTTATATGAAAGAGAGAATTTATTTTGTCCATAGAGAAGTTTATGAAATACACATACGTGACTTTTTCAGGTAACTTACAACTACACAGTGCTTCTTTACAACTAAATAAGAGTAATTTTAAGAACTTAAGCTCACCAGTGGCAATTATTTTTGAGTTTAAAAATCTTTAATACCTAAATCCAAGTAATAAATTGAAAGTCATGAGTGAAAAAAAAAATATGAAGAGTTGGTTTGCAAAGAGAAAGTTTAAATAAATTTCAATAAAAATTTTCGATAAAATTATCTTGGAGAAAGAAATTTTTTCTCTCTCTCCCTTTCTTTCCTTCTCTTACACACATATACGCACATACACACACATTAAATTAAATACATTAGAATTTAATGGCATAGTAGTTTATATAGTCTGAATCATGAATGTTACTGAATTTTTATGGGATACTAGCATAACTAAAGCGTAGTTATGCATGATCATCTATGTGTCAGGGCTTCTTTCTTCTAACTTAACAAAAGGTGGGTATCAGAACAATTACATGCATTGTGATGAAAATTTCTTGTATTTCATCATATAAAATTGTGAAGAGACCTACACTGAAGCCATTTACTTTTAAGGAAAAGAAGTTGGAAATTAAAATTTCTTGGTAAAATGTACAAATTGTTGGTTTACCTTATTTCAAATAAACTCTTAAAATCATGTCCCTGCCTAAGTATTTATGGAAGTTATGATTTATGAAGGACAATCCAAAACAATTTATTTAATTGCTTCTCCAACAAGAAAACTGCCAACTGGGCTCTAAAGGCTTGGCGCTTTCTGCTGCCTTATAATCATAATAACTGAGGTGAGCGTCCAGCTTGACACTCCCTGGCTACACCCTGTGAGGACAACATTAAACTGGTCATTTTAGAGAGTGCCTCAAGGGAAGTGTGTGTGTGCCTGGGTTGGTGTGTTTGTAAGTGTGTGTGTGCACGTACCATAACACAATCATAAACATATTTTTGTTTATTTGTATATATTGAAAGCAATATAAAGGAAAGTACCTATTTAGAAAATAGAGCAAACTCAATTTATTGAAGATAAAGTATTATTTAGCAAATATTCATATTTTTGAAGAGATATTTGAAAACCAGAAAACTTTTTTAAGAGCTCTTTTTTTTTTTTTTTTATGTACTGATTAGTTTCACTTTCTTGATAGCTAATTAACTCCATGATGGCAATTTTGAAAATTTATGGGCGGGGCAGTGATTCATAAATCCTTTCAGTCCTTAAAATGTCACTCTAAAAAATGGCAGAAACTTTCTAGCACCCTAATTCAGTGCCAGGAAGAGTTAGGAATACCAGGGAGAATCCTATTCAGCATATAGAAAATACACAGATGAACCAATAAAAAAAATGGCAAAGTGAATATTTGATGTTCAGATTGAATCCTTCTGAGTTTAAAATAGTGAACAGAAGTAATGAATCATAATTACTCAAGAAAGTTTAGAGCAAACAATTGACTATTTCTTGCACTTGGGGTTTTAATTACAGAGTGTAGATCATTCACTTAAAAAATGTATTAAGCCTATGTTCCAGGCTTTCTACTACACACTGATGAAACTAAGATAAACAAGACACAGTCTCTACCCTTAAGACACTCAGAGAATGCTGGTGTTGACAAACATATTACATACCATAATAGATGCAACAATAAAGAATAGAATATTTATTATAGAGTAACAAAAGAAGGGGGTAAGTCTTAGAAGACTCAGGGAAAATATTTTATAATATCAAAAGCGAGTCTTCCAGAGCATTAATTTGCCATGAACCATACTAATTACTCTGTGGTTAGAGAGAAAGGAGCTAAAAATTTATATTATTCATCTAAGTCTGTCATAGGCTCTAATTTACACAATTCAATTCCCGTTTTCCAATTTGATAAACATTAAATGATTCAAAAAGATCAAAACAGATTTTCTCTTTATATTTTTCTTCTGTCTACATAATCCAAATCTCAAAACCCAGTCCATTTCTAATCAATAAATTTGATTAATCTCCAATGGGGAAAACAGGTCATTTTTCCCCACATATTTCTAGTGATTTATTTCTATAAAAATCAGTTGTCTTTTGAAGAATCAGGTCCCTTATCATAGGAGATATTTAATCAGACACTGGATGATCTCCAAAAATGTTCTGGAAGATTTTGCAGCAGGAAAAGCACTTTATTCCTGCTTGCACTCTACATTAGTATTTTAATAATTGTTTTATTTTTTTATAACTCTATTAGGATTGCCTATCAATGTCAACATTCTTAATATACTTAAACATTTCTAGTGTGCATTATTCTATTTAAATTTAGGTTCCATTTCTTCCACAATTAGTAATTTTCCTAAACTATAAGTTTTTGAAGGTAAAAAGATACATATAATCCTATTTTGTAACAAGACAAGCTCAAAGGATTTAGAGAGATTGTTAGACAATTGCACTTAAAATAATAAAATAAAAGTGACAATATTTTAAGTAATAAAAGGGTACATGTGCATGTGTGCATGTGTGCATGAGTGCTTGTGTGTGTGTGTGTGTGTGTGTGTGTGTGTGTGTATAAACAGAATACTTGGAATAGACTTTAGAAAGATACTTAGAGAATCAATGTCTCCAAGTTTTCTTGGTGGTAATTTTCTACCTTTCTATTTTTAGTCTCCCTCTGTGAAAGATATAAAATTAAGATGAGCATTCTATAGCCTTTATAATTTGCAATGCATTTATAAAGGAAGTCCTGAAGTAAACATCACATAATATTCCAAATATTTTCATTATGACAACAGCAATTTAGTTTACTATTTTTGTTCTAATAGTCAGGAAAAATGGTAAGGGTTTCCAACCAGCTGTTTCTTTACTAGGGAAAAATATTCAAATTTAGTGGCTATGTCTATGGCTTAGAGACACTAATGTTTGTTCAGAAGAGATAAATTCATTAAATCCCTTGGATATTACTAGGTATTTAGATGTTTCAACTCATAGCAGGAAAATGACAGAATTTTGCCAAAACGACTTATTTCACCTAATTTTCTGGTGGATCATCGACACATAATTTTTAAAAATTGGTTTTTTTGCAGGCATCCACACTAAAGAAAAACTTTAACATTATGTCAGAGCCTTACAGATACATTTTTAGGTGGAAACAATATAAAGATAAACTTCATAAATGGCAATGGTAACTATTAGCATAACTGTGTTCTACTGTTGGGTAATATTTTCACCTTATCATCAGGCATTTTTGTATATTGTTATTTTAAGAAAAGAAAAGAATAAGGAAATAAACTCAACTCATAAAGTAATCTAATGGCCACATTTAGTTGAAGTAGTAGGTATTTTCCTTCAAAATTATTTAAATTCTAGGCAAAAGATCAGGGAAGTTAATTAATGTGACCAAGTTCACACAGTAGGAAAAGTCAAAAGACAAGCAAATTACTGGTTCTTTGATTCAGACCAAGACTCTTCATCACTGCCCACCACCTCTCACCAGCAATTTACACTATTCTTCCACTCACTGAAGGACCATGATGGGCCATGGGCAGTGTTTCCATTTTCTTTCCTATAAAGCTGTGAAATAATATTCTCTACTCCATAGAGTTTTACTTCATGGAGTAAATAAGGAAATGTGAGCATTTTGTATAAAACAGGCAATATAAAATTTTCTTATGAAGAAAAAGAGATTTAAAAATAGAATAACTGAGACAATAAAAAAAATTTTAAGTGCAAATTTTTGCTCTGAAGATATATAACCACATAATTTATTTCACAACCAGCTATGCATTCTAAAAATCTATTTTATATTTCTCCTTAATTTCAATGATAATAAGCAAGACTTTTTTTCTAAAGCTCTAAATCACACTTTAAAAAGAAGTGCCTCTCTTTAACAGAAAGTGCAAAATTGTCTCGAATTCAGATTTTCCCATCTTATTAGGTAAAAGATTTCAGTAACCCTCAGTCTGGTTGGGTAGTTACATAAAGGCTGTCTTTTTTTAAATGAATTACATTTGAGTTCCCTTTCAAAATCCATGCCAAGCAAAACCTGATCAGAAAAAATTAAAGTATGAAAGCTTCAAAGTTCACACTCTGAACTTTTTTTCATCAAGTGAAGTTAACATTAAATCTTTATTTTTACACACACATCAGGCAAAGTGCTTTCCCTAGTGAAAAGCAAGAAGTTCTCGTAAAAAAAAATGCTGTCTGGATCTCTTTGTTTTGTAAAAATAAAGCATACCTGCAATGTTATAAAGTGAGATTTTGTTACATGATTACAAAATTCATTTGGGTAGAACACATGAACTAGTCAAC